GTTGGGCGGCGTACCTCTCACATGCGTGAGAGTGCCCTAGGTCAAGTAAGGAAACAGCCGCTTCAGCCTGACTCTCAGCCCACCTGTCCGCCAATCCACACAAAAACTTACACAACTGGGCAGACTGCGTGGACTGTGTTGGGGCGTCAGTCAGCAGCCTTTCAAGCCACAGTACTTGACGCGTCGTGATAGTCTCAGACTTGAAACACACATACAGAAAAGGAGCAACAAAGAGAGGTAGCCAAGACGCACACTTCCCACTTTCGTGGAAAGTGGCAGTTGGATGCTTGTGGTGGATGATGATGTTGCTTGAAGTAGGTGAAGGAAGATGTGATGGTGTGGTTTAGCCGGCGGTTGTCTACCGTAGGTTTTGTTGAATGCGCATGTGACTTAATAAGCCCGTGCCGTGGGTGAATGTGTGGATGCAGTGAGGGCGGTTGAAGCGGATGCGTCGGGTGTATGTTTGTGCTCCGGGCGCTGGTTCGCCAGTCTGTGCGATGGATTCGCAAGTGAACGACCAGACCGATGTAGGAGGCGGATGTGCGACCGCAATGAGAACAGGTATGGACCGAGTATGCATAACTGGTGTTTGCAATGTATCAGTATCAGTATATTTCAGGGAAAGTAGGTGTGTACCTTTGAAATCCCTATTAGTTAGGTTAATTTTCGTCGGTGCGTTAGGATTGTGTCCAGGGGTGGTGGGTGCAGGGGCCGCTGCAGCGGATGTTAAGGCGATGGAGAGCAATGGCAGTGGGGGTTCAGAAGTGCGGTCACTGTTGATTTTCGATGTAGAGGACGAGGCAGATTTGGACGAGGGACATCCGGTGCTGTAGTTGGCTTGAAGATATCCAATAAGACCGACTGGTGCCCGGAACGTCCGCTGGCATCGTGGGCAGGTTGGTGCGGTTGAGTGCTGGCGTTGCGAGGCGGTGGCAGTTCAGATTTGCGAGCTTGGTGTTCAACCTTAATGGCGTATGCGGTTGGCTTCTCAACTTGGTCCGCCCAACTTCACCGCGTTCCTCCAGGTTTGTCGGTCCCGGGCAAGGTCTTTCCAGTTGGCCGGACTGATCTGCAGACGCTTCAGAGAAGTCTTCATGATATCGTAGCGCCCGAATTGATCTCTTTGTTGAAGAAACCCGTGGCGCCACCTCCATAGAAGAGTCGCCTGGGTGGCTGCTCGTTATCCATCCGCACGAGGTGGTCGCTCCAACGCAGTTGCAGCTGTCTCAGCATGGAGTACATGTAAGGGGGTTCCGCAGAGGTTTAATAGCTACATCCGGTAAGAAACATAGACTCCTCCAAAATTTGGTCCTTGGTGGTGGTGGTGGTGGT